CTAACGCCGGTCGGGGACAGTAACGATACATTAAAGAACCTCCTACGACCCGCGTACCTGCGCTCGCTGTCGTCGGAAGACGAAGACGACATTGTGGCGAAATTAAACGAGAGCCGGGATGAAAGCCTGAATACGTCGAAAAGCTCGTCGGATCAAGCGTCGACGTCAGCGACGCCGTCTGGGAGTGGCATGCCTGTCTTCAACCAGCGCTTGCGGCCGGATGATATCGAGCCCGTCGGCCCCAGGAACCCTGTCACGTTCGTCAGAGACTTGTCCGCTTACTGGTACAAGCCGTCCATCTCTAGAGATGATGGTCAGTCTTCCCGTTTTCCCTCCCTCTTTCCAGCTTTCTTATTCAGATGCTCCCGTCATCATCTAACAATGCATGTCGCATATCCCATGTCTAATAATAACTAATTAAAGTGTCACCCCTTTTCACAATGACATATTTTTAGCTGCCATTCAGATTGACGGGCTTTTCAACCTTCTTCGTTCTGGATTAGAACATTTTCTGGGCATGGCAGTTATTCACAGAACAATCGAGGATATCCAAGTACTGTACCACCATTGTGGCGTGACGATGGACCCGACTCTAGGATTGTTTAAAATTCCAGGCACCAAGTCACCATTTTTTCGGTTCTTTGGAATGTATGTCATGTGTTGCATTCTGCCTCAGCATATTTCATAAGCTCTGAAAGGCACATAGTTCATGGCATGCATGATTATCCTTGATTCAAGGAAGATCTCACGTATCTCCTCCTAGGTACCCCTGTACCACTATTGGGACGCCCATTATACCACCGGTTAGAAAGCCGTGGTCTGAAATAATTGTTCAGAATGCAGATGAAGTTCGGTCAAGGCTTCATGGTGACACGTGGGTGGTAAATGGTACAACTGAACACCATAATTCCGAATGTGGAAATTATATTACTGTACTGCTTTATTGTAGTACAGCACCGTACTTCAATTGACGAGGGAGAAGTTGTGCCAAATTATGAATAGGTCTTCGCTTATTCTCGCAGTTGGAAGAATTTGTCATTTATGCTCGAATCGTAATAAATACGGTATCAAATGGAGCATATTTTTGATTTTAGAAGATATTAATCCGAGTGAAATTCAGAAAAATCATAAACATGCTGTGAAAGAATCACGTAAAATCATGGAAAACTTCAGCGGATGCAGCGATCTCTGCCGGCTAATTCATTTACAATATTGTTTCTAACATGTTGGCTAAAAGCATTTTCCGTGATGATTTTTTAAAAGTATAATCTTGAACAATAGCAGACTCAATTTGCTTTAAAATTTTGAAATAACTTTTCAGCGCATTGCAATGTCGGGTGACGATTAAGCAATGTTCGATGCGTTCAACTCGAAATCTGCATAGCGCTCGGTTCTCTTGACCAAGATGATTTTTTGCTCGAAAATGCATTCTGAAAATTCAAAAGACAAAGGAAACGCCAGTTATCTAACTATTCTAAAATACGTGTTTGAGAATGCTTTCTGAAAGCCCTTGTCTTTAGTTACGGTAACATGTGCGTTGGTATGTTCTTCGTTCTGCGTGAAGTGAAAGTTCTCAATTCAGTGAACTAACGTCAATTGCGCTTTAAGAATTCAACGATACTCGACGTGAACCAAAGCTCGCACGCGAACAATACCGCTGGGTATTTCAAGGATGTTCTGAACAGAGAAAACGTTTCAAAGCTCTTATAGTATCCTCTCGTATTATACGTATCGCACTTGCGGCCGCATCAAAACTACGAGACGACGGAAATATTACGTGCATGGACTCTGAAAAACAATTACATTCGTGTGTCTGCGAAATTCGACGCATTCATGCCAACACTCATTTTGCAGCCATACAAGTCTTGAGAGACCAAAAGCCAGGAACATTCCTCGTCCGAGATTCAACCTCGTTCCCAGGAGCGTTCGGCCTGGCCTTGAAAGTCGTGTCAATGACGAACGGCAGCCAGAATAAACTGCCGGACACGTCATCGGAATCAGTGCGACACTTCTTGATCGAAACAACAACGAGCGGTGTACGAATTAAAGGCTGCCAAAATGAACCCGTTTTCGGTGAGTTGTTATTGCATTGATGAATCGCTGATAATCTCGAGACCAGACTCACCTCGTTTGATGAAGCCAATGGAGACTCCAGCGCAAGAGGGCAGGTCGGCCCTCGAATTGCCTCCATGTTTTTATACAGTTAGACCCCCACATGCGAACACATCGACATGGGGACAATTCGACATAGGGACATTTATTTTTCAATGAAAAAATCATGAAAAAGGCCCAACATATGGACACGGACTCAGCATAGGACATTGTATGATAAAAATTGCCAATAAATTTCAAGAAAATGGACTTTCATTAGGCTTAATTGCAAGAAACAGATATTTCCAACCCTAAGATCCATACAAGAAAAATTCCTTGGTACTTTTCCCATCACTTTCCTGTCCATCCAGCTAATTTGAAAAATACCTATATAGCACTTCCTTCTCTCTTTGTGACTTGGATGTTATTTTTACAGATGCCAAAATTTCAATGAACTGTACAGCGGCATACTATTCAATCCTCTAAATGTTCTTATTGGGTTGAAAAGATATTCACTGAATCAAATTCAAGTGGCAAATTTTTTCATGGAATTCTGAAGAATATTCCTTCCATAAAACACCAATTGAAAATTATATAATGTAAGTCTATGGAAAAACAAGACTCGACTTAGGGACACTCTTGATGCATCAATTATGTCCGCATCTGGGGGTCTCACTGTATTCATATTTGTCCTATGGACTTCAATGCTTCAGTACAGAATTCATCGTTTCCGCTGGTGCCAAACTCACGAAGTTTAGAGATCCTGGCGAGAAAATTCATGCTTGCTTAATTTTTTGGTTGATTTATTGTTTTTGTGGGGGGGGGGGGTGGATTCTCGCATATTTTATACTGTGACTGACGAACTAATGGCTGGGTCTTCATCTAGGCTCTCTTGGACACGAAAGAGGAACTAGTGAATGCGTGTTTTATTGCGGAATATTTCACGTCACCCCGAACTTTTGTGCCGCATATCCTCTCTATTTTCCCGCTGTCTAAACAATCGAATACGTGCACAGTCGCCGTTGAATGCGGCGCGACGCAACCAGTGACTACTCCTTTTGTAGCTACGAAATGGACATTGTGAATGAGGGGATCTGGTATGCGAAACGAATGGTAAATTTCATGTCTCAGGTTGAATTTCAATGAGCCCAGTCCCATTCAGTGCTTGAAGGTATTTTCAAAAGCCCTCCGCGGTGCCCACTAACTCAAAAGCTGTTGCCAAAAGCAAATTTTAACCACAGGTTTCTAAAAATGCCTTAACATTTATGTATTTTTGAAGACTTATGCGATACAGTACATTCAAAAGAATTTTAAAGACCAGGTGAAATGTCACGGATTTAGTATAACTATATTTTTCGAGAAGAAAATAAACTGTATGTCTTCGCCGTAGAATTTCCCCACGTCATGACCTGCCAAAAAAAATTTTAATTTATAATTTACCGGGGCACTGGTTTATGTTTTATATCCATCCTGCATCGGCTTTGTCCTCTGACTTTTTCGAGGGTTCAAAACTGAACGAGGAACTTGCTGCAGAATATTTTTGAGATGCGAATCTGATTTTAGCCGTGAATGAGCTGCTTCGAAATTCGTTGAGAAAAATTATAGTACCATGATTCATTGACTTTTATAGTTATAAAATTGAAGAATAGTAGTTCGAGCAGCGCTTATGCGTCGAGGAATGTGATGTAAAATCGCTTTTTCAAAATGAGCGATTTTCGAAGAGTTGAACCGTTTTTTTTTCAAGTCCGAAAGCGTTTGGAGAGCCCCGTAAGTGCGCGTTCATTTCACGAGGATCAACCCGCTTTCCATGGTGAAGCAGCGAGAGATATGATCTTGATTCGTGATTCGCAAATTAAGAGTTATCTCTGTCAATTTTTTAGGATCGCTGTCGGCGCTGATTTACCAGCACTCTGTCACCGCTCTGGCGCTGCCAAGCAAACTAGTCTTACCCACGTGTGATCCCACCGAGAATAAGCTTATCGACGCTGCCGACGCTTCTGCTATGGCATCACAAAATTTGCTTCGTCAAGGAGCTGGTGAGATTTGAAGCTAGCTTGATAAATAAATCGAGGTTTATATTTTTTTTCGAAAGCAGTGGCACAACTTTTCGTTTCAGCCTGCAACGTGATTTATCTTCACTCAATCGACGTGGAATCCTTGACCGGACCGCAAGCCGTGAGGAAAACGGTTCACACTTACCTGTCGCGATGCAGCTCCGGGATCTTACATCCGCCCTTGTCATCCCATTTCAAGGTTTCTCTGAATGGCATTACTATCACCGACAACGAGAGGATTTTGTTCTTCAGGTACTCTTCGTTCGCGAAGCGTATATAGAGGCGGAAACATTCGCAATCGTTTTCTTTAATTTATGACAGGCGCCATTATCCGATGGAATCTATTTCGTATTGTGGCCTGGATCCCGAGGATAGAAAATGGAAGCCGGACATGAATGCGCCGAAAAACAACTACGGATTCATGACTCCAAGGTGATAATGGACGCCAATATCACTTATTTCGCTATTTGTTTCACTTCTAACAAATTTTTGTTTCAGCAGCAATGCGTATGACAGAGAAACTTGTTCTACGTCTAGAAAGAAATGCCGACGAATTTAAGTTTTGTCAGATTCTTTAGGAACACAAATAAAATGAAAAATTTGACAAATTCAAGCCAGCCAACTGTTGGAGAATAAATTCATTCTCTCAACTTTTTTTTAGATTTTAATCATGATGTTCTAATTTTCCTTGGATTTTGCATTAGCCCTTACTATTCAAATGATACTCTATATTTTTCAAAATGTTCTGGACTTTTGAGCGTTATGCTGTGATTGAGTGGGGTTTTTCTACCAGCGTGATGCGTACCACTGATGGTACGCGATGGTATCGCTTAAAGTACTCAAGTTTCTGTAAATTCGGCTTTCGAGCGAGTTGGGTTGAGCTAAAAAAAAAACTAGATTGGGGATGGGAGAGAATACAAAAGTGGCTATAAATGAATCATAAAATGAGATTGGTGAATCTGGGGAAATAGTCTTGCTTAATCGAAGATTCGACGTATCAAAGAGATCCAATTGCTGTAATTATGTTTCATTCGCAGTACATCCCAGCAACATGATGAATTGAAGTAGACAAATGCGCATACAGTTTTCTAAATTCCAGTTGAAGACAAGAAAGGCAAATTTGTATCCAGGTAGTTGTACACAAATATTTAAATGTCTTGGCAACTGTAAAATTGAGAGAAATGTGGAATGAATCTACAGTTCTACACTGAAGCAACCCAGCTGTTCATTGCGCATCAGGGTGAACATACTGTACTGTATTTGAATCAGCTATCTGATCATGGAACCTCTTTTTTTTCAGGCCTTACTTTGGGTTCGTCGCAAGAAAGCCGGGGACTTTGGCTGACAACCAATGCCATATTTTTGCGCAGATGGAACCAGAACAACCAGCTAGTGCTATCATAAATTTCGTCACCAAAGTAATGCAGGCGAACACTTCTGATCCTGGGAGACCGAGGCTACTGTAGTCAGCCATGCATTCATCTAGCTTTTTGTGTTCTGAATTTGCTCTTATTTTCTTATTCAAATATTAAGGTCATGCCGCCATCTCGATTGCTAATTTTATTCGAATTCTCGAATCTTCGCGATGTCGTTCACTTCGGTCGCGACAGCATTTTTCTGCTACTGCATTTATGGGGTGACCGTCAGAATCTCGCTGCGAAAGTTTTTTTTTTCGAAAACATTGCATAAATATTTGGAATGTATCCTTTCGAAATCGTCATTCGCGGGCAGTATTCATGCTTCCCGAACTTTCCTCGAACCACGGACCATTTTCGCACTTCGCGAATTCTCTTGTCTTTGGCTGGAAATCAAGTGAGAACGAGTGTGTAATCTTTTTTGGCCGAAAAACATTCGACCAAATAGGGCTCTTGAGTGTGATCCGAAATGGGCTTCGTCTGTTACCGTGGCAAATTTTTGGACTCCTCGGAAGACTTTTTTTTTTTTGCGAATTCTCGTCCCAATAATTGTTAGATGAGATCTATATTCTTGACTCAAGGATGCGTCGTCGGTATGATGTGAGAGCAGGCATGAATGCAAATGTATTCTTTTCAAGTAACTCGAGATATTTACCCAGAGGAACTTTTCTCCTCGGGTGGATTCGTAACCAATGATTCTTGTGTTTGATACTGCTGTCGTCCTTCGAACGGTGGAAAAAACAACGCTTGCATGTTGTGACCTGTTTTCATTGAGTCCCCGGGACTAAGGTTTCCGCTTAATATGGTCGGTCGATAATAATAAACGTTACTGATTCCGCTTTGTGGGAGGGATTTCTTGGAATACTTTAGAAATTTCAGAAGGAATTGACGAATGCATCAGGAATCAACGTGAGATTTCACACGTTGGCCATCCGAAGATCGGCGCGTGGAACCAGTCCCGCAAATACGGTCGGAGAGGTTTGAACTATAGTGTGACAGAGGAAAAGAACCCAGAGGAAAAGCACCCGTGATTCTCAATTTCGCATTGCATGATGATACCGCTTTGCTTTCTTCCGGACCGTGTCCGTATCTCTGAACATGGAAGTTCACGATTGAAACAGACCTTATCAAATTGGGTATGTTTTGTACAAGTATAGGAATGAGTATTTGACAAATCACCAGTTATAAAAATAATAATCTTATGCACAGAGGATTCCCGCTCTGAAAATTGTATGCTTCAGTCTACACACAAAAATATGCATTATACCGGAGAAGAAAGTTTTTTTTAAATACACAAATTTGATCCAGTGGAGCAAATTTGTCACAAATACTTTTCCTCTGACTTGACTCGACCATAAGAGAAATCAGAAATGAAGAACAGCAAATTTTGTCGAAAACAGGAATTGAGGTAAATCTATTCTTCCTCCTGCGCAGGATATACGGTCAGCACGAATTTTACCAATGAAAGAAATGTTTCATGATAAGGAAAAAAAACAATCACGAAAAATTCACGATGGGTGCGGCAGCAGTGCGAAATGAAAAAGAACCACTATGAATCAAACCAAATAAGTCTTTCAACTGAACTCCATAACGAACGTTTCAAAATCCACGCAGAGCGTTCATCATACTCACGGATGAAATATAACTTCAGCGGAAAGAATAGAATTCGTACAATCGAGGAAAGGCAAAATGTATAACGCGAGACAGGCGATTGGCAGGATTTGGGCAGTGCAGCAAAAATTGTCAGGGCGAAAGAAAAATCGAAAATATTCTTCGGGTCATTTATACTCGCTCGGGCATTCCGGCAACACGATTGTTGCACACTGAAGCGTTTTGAGAACTCCTTTTTCACATTGCCGACTGCTAAGTGATTATATCGACATCTCGCTCGTTGAATGAATACGGAACACACAGCCTTTCCCCTTCATCGGCCTACGCGGGAGAAATGCCGGTTAGAAATTACCTACTCATTCGCTTCCGCGAGTGTGGCGGAAATATCTGGAACCAAGTTCACGAAAACGCCAGAACAAAATGGAAATCAACCAACGCTCGAATACTCAGCGACGACGCATTCTCTTTGCGCAAGGAAAAACAGTCTGGATACGGTAAGCTAATAGCCAACGTCGCACTCTCAATCAAATTTGAAACAGCACAATACATTCCACGAATACCGCTCAATAAACCAAGGTTTGACAAGCACAGCACCAAAAACGATGACGAATCTTTCCGCGAAGCTCACACAATCTGGACTTCACCTACTTATTGTCACGAGGCTCACGCAATTTCATTACTTGATCGAAAAAAATAAAATAAAATGAAGGCGAACAGCCTGCTAAAAGCTACAATCATCCACAACGATCCTTCGTGGGTCGCATAAGAGGCACGAAGCGCTTCCTCTCGTCGTCAAAACGAATTCGAGTAAAGCACACCCACCACACGAGTCATGGCCAGAAAGTCCGCTCTTTCGCATCGTTCATCGAATCAGATTATCGGCTTTCTTCTTTATGTATCATATATTGTATCCAGGTGATTTCTTTTTAATTTGGGAGTAGAATGCACGATGTATTGCGAGAGTTGGGGGTTTGTTCCGTTTCCGCGTGGGTTTCATCTTCAACCAGCTGAATGATACTTTGTCAATTCAAATAACTTAAAATAGAATGAAGATTTGCCTGACATGTTTCCTTCCTCTTACTTTGCCCTTCCAAACACTTCTGGCACTTCTGTGTCGTCAGTGAAAGGCTGGTTAATTATAGGAAAGAAAAAACTCATCTGGAAAAATATTTGTTTGCAGTCCAGTTTTTCTGTTTAAATTCCCCAGGTCCATGTTGAATCAATTTTACAGACTTTTTCGAGGTTCTCAGGGTCAATCAACCTTCAGCATAGATTGCAAAATGCAGCGGAGACTATTATTTTCATTTGTTTTTTACCGTATTATCATTTCATTATTCATGGTCCAATTTTGCTACGGTGAAAAGTGTTAAACAATTCTGCTTGAAATCGCCAAAACAATATTCCTGCGGATGAATGATATTCAGTCTGATCTTGGAGTTTTTTCCACTCTCTTGAGAATTCGTTTCCATCTCATTCTACACCGGCTCAATGATGAGGCTTTCAAACTTCAGAATATAAACTACCTAGATTTTACGGCGAATTTTTCTTGCGAACCTCGGATTAGGGAAAAAAGGAGAGGACTACTGCACCAGAGTCAGAGGGATCGAGAAATAATATACTTAACGTGCCTTAGCCGAGCTGGATTTACGAAAAAAAAAAATTAATTGTCCACACGGGAATAGAACAACCCTCAACTTCGGTGGATGGATGTTCAAGAAAGGGTCGGTCGACGAGTTTCCAAGAAAATCAGATCAGACTCGGCCGCGTTTGCAAACGAACTCTCGGACCAATGCTCGTGACGATAGAGACGCGGACACTCTGGATCAACGGGGGCTGCGCGTGTGAGTCGGGTTGAGTGACACTTGGAACTCCATCCTGCGCATGGACACCAAGGAACCCTTGCCGATCTTGCGGCCCTGAAGCTCAGCGGAGGAGTGTTGCGGGGTACTGACAGGCGAGAAGACGGTCGAAGGAATGTCGCAGTTGTCTGATATGTGGTCGCCGACGAGCTGGTCGGAACCCGTCAAGCGGCCGTACACCGCATCCGCGTCCGCACACTGCGCTCCTGGACTCCCGCAATCGGCTTCCCGACATCCGGCTCCGAATTCATCTGCAATACCGGGGGAACCTTCAACACCTTCGTCAATAAAAGACATTGGTTTCGTAGGCCAGGAAAGGCCCGTGGTCGTCCTGTCCCAGTCCTCCTCTTCGTCTGTCTCCAAGATGGACGTTTCCCGGCACACGTGCATGCTCGGGTGGGACGACGTGGCGGAGCTGCAATCGCTGATGCCGCTGTCGCTCCTGTCGCTGACTACGGACGCGCTCTTCTTGTGGTAAGCGTGACTAGATGAAGTTAGTTGGGGGAAAATACTGGCTTTCTCGGTGGGGTCCGGCGTGAAGCTTTCGCGTGCAACATGCGGTTTCAGTATATTGTCGCGCAGACCGCGGCGGAGCAGTTCGTGACGCACGATGTTCGGACTGGCGTCTGACGGCATTCGATCCGGCAAGGACATCCCGGAAAATGTCCGGACGCTCGCATTCTTCACATCTTCCATCCCGACGAAGCCCTTGCGCCAGTGCCAACGTTTATCCCGCACGTCGACGATCGGTGACGAAGAACGCAGCGACTCGATCGATGACGACGGACAAATACCTTGGCTGCGTTGCAAATAGTACTTTTTCCGGCGTTCCGACGCGTTCGGGCTTCCAGGAGCTGAACCGCCGATGGATGTCAATTGAAGAATCGGGTTCCTCCACGACTTGAGCGTCGACAGATTTTCTTCGCTGACGGCTGACAAGTGCTCCTGTGAGCCACGCCTGCTCTCCGACGCTCTCCGCAAGTGTGTCATTCTGCCCAAGGCCAAAATCGCCTTTCCGGTTTTCTGAGGGGTTACATGCGGGGAAACGGAACGAAAACGCTGTTTTTCTACACACACGCATGCGACATCTACAATTCTTTCCGGACAAAAAGTCATAATGTTTTAAATAGAGGTTGTTCCGCGGAGGGGAAAAAAAGTTTCCGCCACGCAACTTCTGGAAATAATGGGGCAGTTGTATAATTCTCGACATCAAAAATAGGATGCTTCATCACGTATGTTAAGTTCTTGACTGAAAAAAATGTTAAAAATCGCAAATCGGAAGCAAACTCCCAAAAAAAGTTCTTTGCACCCTCAACACCCCGACACTGACAAATACATACAGTATAGAGAGAATTGTCGAATTTCGATGTAAAAAAATAAAAATTTTAATCGAGGAGTCCTTGAATGTGCATATCAGAAGAATACAAATTTAATTTCCTTAAAATCAAAAACTATACCACCCGCCAACTCCTTGAGAGGATTCAGGGAGATGATTAGCACGGGAAAATATGACATATTCTCTCCATTCATGCGAAAAAGTATGGCTCTTATTCCCATTTAACCAGTCGCTTCAAATTTTTTGATTTACGCGTAGCAAAATTTACGTGAGAAACTGAGAATTGTCGAATGGAGAAAATCTCTTATTTTATTAATGAAATTTTATTTTACAATACCAATCCATCAAAGAATCCAGAAAACCTTTTGGCACACATATCTTGAATTGCTGGTATACTGGGAAGTCATTTGTCAAAGATGACTGATTCATTCATCTGTCTAAAACTAATTTAATTTCACAGCGAACTGAGAAGTACAGTATTCTCTTTTCGACTCTCAGTAGCTTAAATATTTTACGAGCCATCTTCACAGTTCTACGAACCAAAATTACTTGACTGGCTGTCACCGTGAGATTTTCCAGGAATGACTGAATGAAAGAAATTACAGCAACAGTGTGCCGGTTGCAGAAGAGGAACGACCTAGAACAGTGTTCCCAACCTTTTTGGACCCACGGACCGGCATATTTCCAAAACATTTTTGTGGACAGGCGGCGTTCCATAAAATTGTTGCAGACCGCCATGAAAATTTTTAAATACCTTCCATAAAGTCCTCGGAAAAAAACTTCTACAGTATTTCGAAAATTAAGTTAAGAACCAGTGAAGCAGTTATAGAGTGCAATGTCTTCAAAAAAATTAGAAAGCTGTGCTTAAAAAATGGTTTCCCAGAAGGAAAACTGGAAGTAATTTATTTCAGCTGGTGAAAATTATTCTTGAGTGTTGTTGAGGAAAAATAGCCAACTTTTATTTTAATCAGACAATTTCAACTGCCATTGTCTTTCCAAACCACCAGATAACAATAAAAGACTAAACATTACAACTTATGATGCATTTATTTGGATTTTATGCTGAAAATTTCCCGTGTACTGTACCGGCAAAAAAAGTCAGCGAACCGGCGCCGGACCGCGGACCACGGGTTGGGGAACACTGACCTAGAACCTATATGACGATTGATGGTAGAATGCAAGACCAGCTTTCCATCCGAACCCAAGCTTCACAAAACCTGGCTAACGAGCTTGAAAATGACACTAATAGACTTTGACAAAGTATTTCAATAATATGGACTTATAAATAGTGCTTTGCGTTTCTTGCCTTGCGGAAAGGTTGAAGTGAAAAGAGCCCAAAATATAAATAATCGTTCTAGATTGAAAATCGTAGTACAAAATGCATAATTTCGGATATACAAAAAGCTGAGAATGAGAGGGTTCAAGGGTATGGCTAAAGTCGGGTGCACAGCCCAAACACTGGGAATCGGCAATGCAACACGCATCGTTGCGGAGAAGCACGATTGCACTCACCTGCCACTTCCTTCTGATGATAAACTTCTTGAGTTTATCCGTTGGTAACTTGAACGAGTTCATGGTTTTCTCCGTTTGGGCAAGCCAGGGATGAGACAAGCACCTCGCAGCAGTCAAGCGTTTCCTAGAAAGGAGAAACGAAGCGCTAGACATTCCGCCGCTTACATGGAGTCAAAAAAGGCGCCGTCCGAGTCAGCAATCACACACTCACGAGGGCTTCTTCACGAGCAAGCCGGAAATGAAATCCTTCGCGTCTTCGGATATCGACGAAAAGGATTCGTCGTCGAAATCGAACTCGGCCCGAGTGATATTGGCATACGTCTCCGCGTCAGTCTCCCCCATGAACGGAGATAAACCGGACAACCTGAGAAAAAAAGTCCGTCTCTCGTCAACGTGGACACCTTTCGTGAATGTCGTGTCCAAAGCAAACTGCTGCGAGCATACTCACAAAACGTATGTCACGACGCCGACGGACCACATGTCGGATGCGAAAGATATGGGATCATACGCGATAACTTCTGGAGCGATGAACTCCGGAGTACCGAACATGACACGCACTGGTTCGCCGTCGGGTTCGAGTTCTCTTGCCAAGCCGAAGTCAATTATCTTGACATCATGAGACTGAGGACTCACGCATAAAATATTTTCCGGCTGAAAAATAGAAAAACCAAGCATCATACCGCTGCAGCAGTATTAGTATTTTAATTAGCATACGGTTGCTATGGGTAAAATATTGATTTTAAATACGCATTTTTATATTGCATGATTCAGAATTCTGATCAAACAAATTCGAATATAATGCGAGGGCTCAGAAAATCTTAGACCAATATAGCCAGTGATATCTTCCAAGCCAAGAAAGCTATCAATCTAAATTTACACTGAAATACAAGAGGAATTCAATTAATTTGCAATTGCTTTTGCATTTTCAAATTTAATTTAAATGGAGTGTTGGTAACGAAAGCACACCTTTTGAGGCATTTTCCGAACTAGGGAAACAAGCTTAAATAAAATGAAATAATTCAAAAGATTTGAAGATTTCAAACTTAAAATAATAATGATAATAATTATATTGATTCTTCTGAATGGTGCATGAGTGTTTCATTTCTGTGTCCCAAATTATGGTTATTATTGGGTAAAGCTAGAATTGAATGGGAAAATGAAGAATGATACTTAAAAGCGACACTACCTTGATTACTTCAATTCACGGGAAGGGAAATTTATTACTGTTCACTGTATATGAATTTGAATGGGGTACACTGCACAGTTTTATGCCTCAAAATGATCAATATTCTTCATCCCACTTCTATTTGAAATACACGTTCAGCAAAAAGTACTCTGCACCAGATTTCCCTTCCAGCTCCTCACAATCCTCACAAATAAAAAAAAGCGAGCCTCAGATGATCAGATCAAATAGAGGGCTTTCATACATTATCTGAATAAATTTTCTAAGTGGCCGGCCACCTTCGCCCACCCGAAACAAGGGTTTTTGTATTGTAAATGCAGAAAATTTCATTTTATAGGGTGATTCATTTTCTACTGAACTCCCAAAAGTATGTGAATTAACACAATTCATGAATATACTACTTTAAACATTTATCCTCGGCTAAGTGAACCGATTTAAACGGGAAAATAAATCCTGGTTAGTATGATCACCATACAAGTACCAGTAATTATGAACAAAAAATCGGGAATTTTTTTTCGGGAAGCAGAAAAAGCGTAATTTATTTTCAATATGGTCGCACTGAAAATTAAAATATGCCACATGACACTTGTGCAATTTTAATACCGTTCAAAAGCCAAATGCATCTTTCAAAAATGTGCATTCCGGGATATGTTCATGAAACTTTCCATCGGGTGCATTTTACGGAACTTGAAAATATGAAAAACGAAATCAAATAAATGTAGTTTCCATCCAATTATCAAGTAGCAGTATTTGCATCGGTTGATCTTACGTTTCAATCTGATGATTCTCTGAAGATATTAAAAATGCGTCTTTCGCTAACCAACCGACCAACTAGCAACTGGAGTTGGTTATAGACGCTGCAATACCAAATGGAACATTGAATTTTGAGATGAAATATCCGAACATACGAGTACAGTATTCGAAGATGAAACGCGGAAAGAAGTTAAAGCGTAATCGAATTCCTCGGGCTGTCGCGGAAAGTACGGTGCATCGAACAGTAACGATTAACTTACTTTCAAATCCAAATGAACCACGCAATTTTTATGCATGAAGGCAACACCGTCGCAGATTTGCCTCGTGAAGAGGATACAGTCCCGCTCGGTCAGCGTGAAATCATCAGCAACGACTCGTTCAAACAACTCCCCGCCACGAATGCTGATGGGAGAGAAGAGAAGGCAAAAGCGATTCCAATTTATGACGCACCACGAATAATTACTCCGCAACACACGAGGTCAGTCATTTGCATTAAATAATGATACGCGTTTCTGAAATCACTCACTATTCGGTGACCATGATGAAATCTCGCTGCCGTTCGAAGGCGGCTGTCAGCAAAAGAAGCCTAGGATGCGCCTTCAAGGAATTCATGATGTGTATTTCTTCTTTTACCTTCTCCTTGTCCTTCAGCTTCAGGCACTTGACGAACTTCGCCGCGAAACTGCGCATAAAAATAATTGATTGGAGCATAAATTTCGCATCGATTTTACTGCTGACTCGTCGTCCGGTAGGCTCATAATGCGGCCATTTCGTTTGCCGTGAAATGCTTTGCTCGTTGCGCGGAACTGGAACGTCAGCGTAAACATGCTGTGTATTGTGTCGGTTGTGACGTTGGAAATTACACCCGAAAAAGGAATTAAGTGGTCAGCTCATAAATCATATACAGTAGTGAAGTTTCGAAGTTTTCCGCGAGGCTAACGTTATTCCTCGAGCGAGCGTTTCTATCGACAGTGAAATATGTAATGTATTTGTAAATCATTGCTCGATCACCTCGGGAAACATTTCCTCAAGACATTCGCGGAGTTCTGAATATGAGCTGTTTAACTTTATTTAACTGGACTAAATCCCTATAAACACATGACCCTGTTCGTACAGGAGCCCTTTTGGGTACCCAATGCAACGTACCCAGCGTAGCTTTCACTCGAATCACGGACACAGGACTTCACACTTACTTTAGACATTCCGCACAGCAAACGGTACGATCAACATTTCAAGTATTTAATAATTATGTGTCCTCCATTAGAGTCAATGGCCGTATTTAACAAGTACAGTACGCGACTTTTTATATAATCCATTTCATGCAGTCGATATTTTCATCAACTTCCGTTCCAAACTTTGGGTTTTCCTCCAAGCAGTCCAAGTACATTACACTGATTACAGCACAGAAAAATGTGAAATAAGTGGGCTGATTTCCGGGAGCCTTTGGCAGGAAATCGATCGCACGGATAATGTTATACAGTACCTTCAAAAATGTTTCTTTGAAAATTTGATTTTTGTCTTTCCAAAAATGACTTGACTACCAACTTTTCTGTCAATTTAAAGCAATCGCAGGGAGTTAGGGCGCTGAAAATAAAATTAAGAGAGGCACAAGTTGTTTTGTTTCCCCTTAATGAATCAACACCCAAGCGTTTAAATTAAATGGGTCTTCATAATTAAGTGTCTGATTAATTGGTGCCTTGACGACCAGCGGTTATTTTCTTTTATTTTTTTCTTAGCAAAAGTCCAGCTACACGTGGACTCTCTCTCTCTCTGCAACTATCTTGTCTAGAATTAATTTCTCTGGAGTCTAGATAACGAATTTTTGTTTGGTCCCATAGGGGTCTCTACCCATTAAAGCGATTTTTTCGTCCCTCAAATTTCGTTCTAGGGAGAGTCCACGGGTGTGTATACAGTACAGGACAGTACTCGGAAAAGCGAATGTGCAGTCTGCCAAGTGCCGAGATTCCACCCATTACTAAAGAGGCCTGATCAGTCGCGTCGAGGAGAGAGAGAGAGAGAGCTTTCCATGCCCAGCTTACTTGTTTTTGTTCTGCTTCTGGACGACTTTGTACACGGTGCCGAACCGGCCCCGGCCGAGCTCGTCCAAGACGTCGTAGTTGTCGGCGAATTCCTCCCCAGGCGCAATGTTTACAAATGATTTCCTCGGAGCTTCCGGCTCCTTCTCCTCGGCCACTTCGCTCTCGGGCCCTGTGAAGTCGAACGAGCGAGGAAGATTGAAGGAGGCCGCGGCGAGGTCAGATTTCGGCATAGCGCGGCGCGAAGAAGGCACGGCGAGAGAATTACAATTCTCAGCGGCGCTGGCCGGAGAACTATTAAGCTGTTACAACTTACCGACGCTCGGCATCATTGCAGGAGCTGACTTTGATGGAATGCTAACAAAAGGCGATTCGCGGCCCGGCTCACTGCAACCGTGGATGTTCTCCGCTCGTACGCGCACCACGAACGAAGTCCCGGGAGTGAGTCCGCTTATGATGTAAGACGTGAACTGATAGCTGCGAACAACAAGCGAAGGATTACCACCGATAACACCTGTTCCCCGCTGACACGGCAGCTCGGTATATCGGGAAAACCCGACAGATAAAAGTGACTCACTTCTTCTCTAGTACGACCCAGGCCTCGTTGTTCCGCTTCACTTCCAGCGTGTATCCCGTGACGACGCTGCCGCCGTCGAACGCGGGCCCGTACCAGGAAATCGTGGCACTGTACGTTTCGTCTCCGTCAACAACGTCGTCGGCGTTGTTGTCCTCGCGGCAATTTTCTCGGATGATGTTCACTAATGACGGCTGGGCAGCGGGAGGATCCGGTGCACCTGTGTGGGAAAGGGAGAACACACGCGTTGTTCGACACGTGGCAAAAACATGGGAACTAACTGAAATTCGTTTACCTTCGACAGCGAGTGACGCAAATGCCGAGTGTCCCCCGGCACAGTTTTCAACGGTGATCAAATACTTTCCGCTGTCGTCCGACGTCACGGATTCGATCGACAGCGTGGAAACACCGTTAAACGTGTCCACGAACACACGTGATCCATCAGTCAAGACTTCTTTTCCCTGAAATGAGACAATATTAGAAACTGAATGGCATAAACGTTCCATCGACGAATTAGCACAACTGTTTTCAGGCATGTGCCAAATCCCGAACACAGAAACGTATGCTTTCCATATTTTGCTTTACGGAGAAACCTCGATAACTAAATCGGAAACATTTCCCCGAACGACAATGAATTACCGTCAATTGGAAGTTACAAACCTTTTATTCGAACAAATACTTCGCGTAATTACGATTGAGATGATGTACAACGTAAAATTGACACAATCGGAAAAAAAATCTGGGATCATGAAGAAAGTTGATAAAACAAGCTGGTAGGATTCTGATTTATCAAATATTGATCAAGTATTGCCTGAACTTACCCTCAAACGTCGGGACGAAAGAAGGCTGTCGTAGAATATATTCGAGTATTTTTTGTACACGGTCAATACTAGAGATAGAGTTCGAGATTTTCGCTACCTTGGATTCTCCGGATGAAAAAAAAAATCCTCGATTTTCAACGAATTAAAAAATATTTTTTTTATTCGTCAACTTCTGATGATTATTCTATGGGACGATAATCTTTCTGGATATGAAAACCTGTTGCCGCACTATTCTAGATCGGATACTGTATAATTCGCATCATGCAGGAATCTGTCATCAAATGGTTACTTTTTCGGGGGATGTTGAGTTTATTTTCTCACCAAAATGTCTTCAAGGTCCAAATCCGGCTTATTACTGCGCACTGCCAATATAATCGAATTAATACTACAGTGTTTATGTGTTTGGGGCACTTCGAATCAAATTTAAACCGCATAAAACGAATCGACCACAAAGAATTAGCTCATTGTATCTCGTTCGAACTTGAACATTAATGCACGCGACCTCTGATTTTCTAGTACGGTTTTAGGCTCAAACAACTTCAGGCTGTCCGGGTTGATATTAATTCGTGATACTTAAAACTACACCCAAAGCAACCAAAAGAAATGTACCTTGCACAAGCGAACAGAGAATAAATGCCTTCTTCGTCTTCCTGGTTGAAGCATGCAGCATAAGGTATTCAAATATCCTTCGAACATAGTACTGGATGATTCAAGAATTCAGTTAAAATACCAACGTCCCCCCCCCCCCCCCTTCTGGAATATTGTAGCTGCGACACTGGAAACGCGGGNCAAACGTCCCCCCCCCCCCCCCCCTTCTGGAATATTGTAGCTGCGACACTGGAAACGCGGGAGTAATTTTCCACGGGGAATTAACGCTCCAGATATTCTGTTTTTGAGGTAACTTGAATGAGGTACCAGTTCATTAAAAAACGCATTGCGTGTTGAACGACTGCAGAGCATGAGTTGGGAAAATCACTGCTTTAGGTACTTGCAAGTTTATTACCTTCACAAAAATGGCTTCAGATATTTCTCTAAACAGTACTGCAAAATACGGAGAATGCATGGACTCCATCTGGCCCAGAATTCTCTCAATTTAAAATATTTTTCTATATAATTAGATTTTCCATCACGCAACTGCTGGCTTTAATACAAAGGCATAGGCCTCATAGACGAGACTGTTGCGGCCTGTACTCGATTGGAAATCTGCAAGAAAAGTGGTAACCTTGACACAAATTCCCCTCACGAAATGTACAACTTTTACGGTTTCCTCTCATCATTCCGCAACTGGAAAACGACCTGGTCATTCTCCGTGTTTCTGGCTAATTTGAAACATTACTGCACTTTTTACTTGACAGGTTTTATGTTTATTTCGAACGGACAACTCCTCCCGGATTTAAGGCTAATACAGTGAGACCCCACATGCATAAACCTCGACCTGCGGACAATTTGACATAGGGACACTTATTTTTCCATAAAAAATTAATAAGAAAGGCCCAACATGAGGATACTGACGACATAAGGACATTTTGTGATAAAATTGCAAATAAGTTTCAGGCCACATTAAAGAAACAGTTATTTCCAACCCTAAAATAGATGTAAGAAAAGTTCTTGAGCAATTCTCTCACCAATTTAACATCCATTTTACTCATCCAAAAAAATTACCTCCAGCATAGAAGGACTTCCTTCTCTCTTTTACACTTGAATGTTATTTTTACAGAGAATGCCAACATTTCTATGTACTTTACAGAGGTATCAGTATTCAATTCCCCAATTGTCCATATTGTATTGAAATATATTGATTGAATCAGTTTAAATTGGAATTTTTATCTTCATGAAGTTATGGAGAGTATTTTGTACATAAAACAGCAATTAAAATTTATATAATGTAAGTGTAAGGGAAAATACGGCTGGACTTCAGGAAATTTGAACTTGGGGACACTCTTGATGCACCAATTACATTTGCATCTTGGGGTCTCACTGTATTTATGCTGTGTCTTCAAATCTACTCGCAAAAAATCTTGAATTTAATTGCAATTGAGAATAAATGAGTGTTTTGTATTGGGCTTTTCTCACATGGAAGATTTATGCTTCTTGTAAATAAACTAGCATTAATGCTGTTATCTCGTTTCTGCCCCCCCCCCCTCTCTCTCCAAAAACATAAAATTTGAGAGTGGAATAAACACAAAACAGAGGCATAACGATGAATAAAATTTCTTTCTAACCAGGGGTTACATTCATAGAAATGCGCAACATGCGTATTTTTGGCTCGCGTGCTCGGTAAATAATTGAAGGCAATTTTCTACGGTACCTGTTTATATGTGTTACTTCATAATGATTGCCCATGCACTTGATGGAAGCTATGCAAAATTCAGCGATTTCGGGACAGCAAGAAATTCGCAGAGAGGCCGGAGAAAACGCCCCTCATTTGCAAGGTTGAAAGTTATTGAGGATATAAACCAAACAAAGTTTAATGGTTCTCAAAGAATCATTAAGGTTAATCTTTCGATCAAATTTGGTCCATGTTATTCTGCGTCGAAAATTCAGCATTAAACACGCAAAAATCTTAAATTTTCTTTAAAAATGCAAGATATTCTTTTCACGAAATGAAGTTTACAATTCCAGCTATGAAATCATCAACTGTGAGAAATTTCAGCCAGCAGTTTGAGTATAAAATACAGTAAAAAACAAAACAAAAATTTGCTTATGCTTCCAAAGCATTCAACACATGCAGAATTCTTGTTCTATTTTCTGAATTTACTCAGTAATATACAGTGAGACCCCCACATGCAGACACCTTGACATATATGGGGAAATTCAACATAGGGACACTGACTCAACATGAGGACATTGCATGATAAAATTGCTGATTACAATTTTAGGAAAATGGACTTTTATTACGCTTGATTGCATGAAACAAATACTTCCAAGTCTAAAATCGATGCAAGAAAAATTCTTTGGTACTTTTCCCATCACTTTCCCATCCATTCAGCTAATTCAAAAAATTGCCTATAGCACAGAGGGACTGCCTTCTTTCTTTGTGACTTGGAAGTTATTTTTACAGATGCCAATATTTCAATTGACTGTAAAACAGTATGCTATTCAATGATCCAAATGTTCTTCGGGTTGAGAAGATGTTCCCTGAATAAAATTCTAGTGGCAAACAAATTTTTGTGGAATTCTGAAGAATATTCCTTCCATAAAACACCAATTAAAAATTGTATGATGTAAGTCTATGGGAAAACAAGACCTGACTTAGGGACAATTCAACTTAGGGACACTCTTGATGCACCAATTATGTCCGCATCTGGGGGTCTCACTGTAATCTGAACATAAGATCCAAAAGTAAAAAATGAATTCTATCCTCTTCTCATGCGCAAGAATAAAAATACACATACTGTATTTTACCGAATAGTAAACATTCGTTTTGGGAAAACGAAGTATAAGAAGACGCAACATTTCACCTCGTTAACCCATGCATGAGCTATTTGGGAACCACCCCAAAAATATAATAATTACAGTACATGAATTGCGACCAGAAAAAGGCATACTGTATATTGGATCTCGGAAAATCATCGATTCCCCGTTTCGTTCTTGATGAATGCAAATTAGACTGACGCCTTTCCTTGGTCCCACTCGACCTCGAGTCGCCAAATTTGGCGCAAATGTGAAACTTTTCAACGCCTGCTAAGTTTTTCATGCTTCCGACGGAGAACAAATGGCTTCCGCTTAATGTAGAGAAGATCCATTTGGGATGGAACGATAATTTGTAGAACCTTTCATGCTGCTTCTTTTGTGCCTGATGATAACACCGTGAAGACCGAAAACTTGAATAATTAATTGATGGCTGATAATGAGGCTCCGGGAGGATCCAAGGTCAAATGTGCACTCGTCGCTCTCAATTTTTCTAGAAAATTGTACTTGAAGTATACAATACCTAATTTCGGGGTTATCGAAAGATATTTGTAAAGAAAAGGCAGTTGAACACGCGAAGACTGCAGACAAATAAGACAAGGATCGACTTTTTAGTTGTAAAAAAAATACGAAACAAGTTTTCATTCCATGGACAATGCTCTATGTATTTTTGGACTTGACGTGGCTTTCTGATTATTGCAAAAAAAATAATTTTTGTGTTCAAATTTTTCTGTCCTGCTGCTTGACGCAAATTTTGTGTCCGTGTAGAGCTTTGAAGTTCTCAGCAGTCAAGCTTGGGTGAGTGACATTCAAATTTCCAAACTTTTGCATTGCAACATATTCTTCAGAATAATGCATCGGCAATACTTCTGGAAATTACGTCATCCCTTTTTCAAATAAAAAAAAAATACATTAGGGTGATGTTGAATAAAAGAACTGTTTTAATTTATTCATATGCGTATAATGACTGAACCCTTCATTGTGATTTTAATTTTCTCATTACTCTTACGTGCATCAGAAAATTTTTCTTTTCTACAATTATTGAAAGCATCCACTGCGATATTTTAAAAATTATTTATTTTCAAAACCGCGATTCCAGTTGAACGAGCAAACCGAGAAACGTCAGGGACTCTGGTCTCGCATTTGGGCATTTTTCGACTACGATTCGACT